AGTAATCTTGATGGAATGATCTTTGCTATGCAGACCTTGCTGTGAGCATAGGGGAAAACAAACAAAAACGAATGCTCATGTAAGGGAGGGGCTTGGATGCTCGTTCACAACACTCCTTGCAAATGTAGGTGAGTATAATATAGGTTTTTTTTTAGGGGGGGGTCATGTTACAATTATAGTACAAATATAACCCAAAAATCCCTATTCGAATCATCAAGGCCCCTACATTGGTAGGTGCTGTACTGGCGAAAGAGCCCAGACTTCNNGAAGTCTGGGCTCTTTCGCCAGTACAACACCCAGAATGGGGTTTAGGGTTTAGGGTAGGGTCCGGCCGACTTCCATTTCTTCCAACACGCGGAACCCCAAGACACGTCTCAGAAAGCGCAGTTCAAGGTTCAGGCATCGTGTTTTACGCCTGCATGGGGGTCGTTTTCGAAGACTTTCGCGTGTGTTCCGATCTGACCGGGTTTGCCATGCTGCTCAGCGTAGCAATTTGTGGCAGAGGTTTCGGCAGACTGTTCAGCAATGTGCTGTGGATGTGGGCTCATGCGTAGAGTTGGGGAGAGCTTTGCTTGATGCCGACGGAAGCGCGCATGTTCACAGCACAATGACAGTAGGCAATGTAAGGGTCAAAAACAGAGTCACGTTGAGTATGAGTCTTGGCATACTGCGTGCAACAAGGGCTTGGACCAGCTCTAACTTTCCTTAGGATTTCGATCAGAGGCTAGGGTCTACAGGGTTTCAATAGGGTTCGGGCGTTTTCGTGTTTCATTTCCTGGCATCGGTGCTCTTGAGCCATGGCAGTCCTGCCCTGCTCCTGTTCAGCCGCTTGGAATAAGTCCAGGGTTCGAAAGAGGGCATGGAGTTCAGGGTGCGCACATAAGTGCCTCTCATTTCACTTCTGCCGGATTCGGTGCTGCTGTAGCTGCACATCAAATAGGGTTCTCATAATGGTTGTAGAGACCTTTGGGAGTCTCTAGGGTTTCAACATATCTAACTCTCAGGAGGGAAGCATACTTTGCTTTAAAGGACTTGGGAGACACATCACTATAATTATACGACGTGACTGCCACTGTTTGCTGCTACGTTCTCCGAAAGTTGCGACAAAAGAATAAGACTTCAGAAACAAATCGTGAGGTGGCCAACCCCAGTCCATGTCGCCTCAGACAGACGTCGCCCAACGCCGCAACACCCCGAAGACCCCCTTATTTTGGCCTTACGCGCCTGAATGATTGACAACAGACACCCTAAACCCTAACTCCGAATCCTAAAGCCTCTTGTAGCTCCAAAACCGCAAACCCGTAAACCCCAGTAGGCTCTCAAGTGCTGCGTTTGGGAGGCCTCCTATGTGGGCACGCCCCAGGAGGCGGACTATAAAGTGGGCTTCCTGCAGGGTCGGTCGGGATTGAAACGATTCGTAGGTTTAGGAACTACAACAGGTTAAGATTAAAGGGTTTAGAGTAGGGTTCAGCGTTTAAGGATGTTTTTCATAGGGGGTAACTTGGGGGCTTCAATCAACCAGCTCACTGTGGCTTGGCCCAGAGCAGGGGCTCATAAAACGAGTTCTAGGGACTTGTGGCCGAGGAGGGGTTAGGTACGTGCAGGAGCTCCCGACAGAAAGCAGGTTAGTCTTGGGGTGGGGGCGGGAGGTTAGCAGATGGGCGAGCGACATCAACGACTGAAACTACGGTTTAGGGTTTAGGGTCGCTCATGCTTAAGCAGGAGCCCGGCCAAGAACGGTTCTGACTCTTGCTTGGGTTCCAATCCCGACCCTATACACAGAAGCCTTGGCTCTTGCCCATCGAGTCATTGTGCGCAAGGGGCCACCCTTTTCGGCAAAGAAAGGTTCGTCGAATGCCGGCAAATCTTTGCTGAAAGATTGCCCAAGGCTCTGGGCACCACAAGAAGCAACGCCCAACCTGCAAATCAGGGACTTGTGCATGAAAGGCCCAAACTAAAGTTCATTGCCCAGCACGGGCCACCCACCCCCGACCTCCACTGAACTCCCTGACCGTCAATCCCATACACAATCAACTCGACATCCCTAACATCCGTGAGACTCTGGCTAACTTTCCGGCCAGCCTCTTGCATGAATGCCTGCCCCTGCATGCATCGTCCCTAGTATATCTGTCCGGAGCCAGTCGTGAAAGGTTTGCTTTTTTGTTTGCCTAGTGCTTTCTTCGTCCCTTCTGATGAGGTTGAATTTGAAAAAAAAAGGTGTCGTTGGCTCTGTTTCGTCGGTGTTCGCATCACTGTGTGTGTGGTGTGTGTGTGGGTGGTGTGTGGGTGTGTGTGTGTGTGTGTGTGTGTCTGTGCGTGTGTCTCTCTCTCTCTCTCCCTCTCTCGCTCTCTCGCTTTCGCTATCGGTATATATATATATATATATATTTATTTATTTATATTTATAAGGTACCCCCCCCCCTCCAAAACCCACCCCAGAAGCCGAACCGATAA